AGAACATCTGGCTCGATCATTTGGCCTTGCATTAACGGGGCAGAACATTCTGAGATCTTGCGTTGTAACTCCTTTGTTAAGTTAAAAGAATTGAAAGTATCATGGGAGGAAGAGAATAAAAACTATCCGCCTAGCGTTGCTTACCAGAAGTTGGTCTATTTGATTTGAAGGAGCGACAGATGCACCCTGTTGCATATGACTAAGCAAGCGATTAACAGAATTAGCGAGGTCCCCATTCCCAGACAGCTGCGGATTTCCATCTGGACATGCCTCAGCCAATTTAGATTTTTTAGCATTATATTCTGCAACAAGTATATCTACGGTTTGTTTAACTGAAACATTCAAATATGGGGTAGAAAGTATGTACCTTCCTGGATCAATGTAGTGTTCTCAGAGTCGCTTACAAGGCTCAACAGGCCCTGGATTAAAATATTCGGAAATACATCAGTTTTCTTCCACAGTTGTAAAACACGAATTATTTGAGGCTTATCTGAAGGACCACATTTGGAAAGAGATACAAATATAGGGACAACATTTCTCATAAAGCGTGGGCCATATAAATCTTTTTCATTATAGAAGTGTTTCGATTGCCGAACAATAGCATCTATCACGTAAAGACCAGGAACCTTGTACTCAGGTGCACATTTAGAAATAAATTTTTCCACACTTTGTACGACATGTTTGTAAAATTTGAGTGCTCTCATAGCTGCTTTTGTGATTGACGCCATCTTCTGTCTCGAAACAGGCAACTGTACTTTATGGAGAGAATGAAGCTTAAGAAAAATATAAAATTAATCAAGAAGGCACTTCTCTGTTGAAGCTATTGACAGCATCCATAATGAAATATCATAGATAGCAAAAAGATCCAGTGCCAACATTCAGAAACACCGCCAAAATTCTGTCAAAAAAAACAAAAAAAGCTTTTTCAAGATAAATATATAAAAACAATTATAAACTAATATAAATAGTGTGAATATATGGTTAGATATATTGTTAAACATATCAGTCTATGAGACTGACGATGTGCGTGCTATCTATCAGAATCCGTTCGTAATCCCGCTCTTTCTTGCCTTAAATATGCTAGTCGTCCGTACATCTTTTTCGCGTCATGTTGCTTTCTCCAAATTAGTTTGTCCCCCATACTTTCGTCATTTTTACGAGGGACGAATAGTTCCGCCTTATCTTCTCGATAGAACTGTACCTCCGGAAACTATATTAAATAAATTGGCTGATGTAGATATAGAGAGACTTGAATATATTAAAAGAGAATACTCCTTTTTGTGCGAAAGTGGCTTGTCAATGCCATCCTCTCTTAATAATCAAGCTTTTGTTGAATTACTCTCTTGTCCCTCATCTTCAGCTAGGAAAAAACTCTACAAATTTCTATTTCAAAAGGAGATGAAAAGG